ATTCAAAGAGTAGGTTTTCCTGCTTTATCCTGTGTACATGCAGGCTACAAACCATGTCTAATGGAAGATCTTTGGGTTTGTTTTCCCATCCTTGTTGTTTCACTAAATACTTTCCCTGCTAAAATGAGGCTGCAAGGCCTCTCAAGAAATGCTGTTCACTGAAGGTGAAATTATGCTTGAAATGAAGAGCAGCTACCCTGCACTATTTAAGGCACTTTAAGGGTCTATTCTGGTCACTAGCAAGCTGTTTGCAGACCAGAACAACAGCAACTCTGTAGGCTAAACCAATGTAAACCTTAGGGTTGTGAGACGCGAGAGCCACCAGCCCCAGGGCATTGGCACACAGCACTGATGCCTGGGAGGGGCTGTGGCCACAGCTTGGCCAACCCCTGAATGCAAGGGGAAAGCTGGGGAAGTGACCACCACCATCTTTCTCTCATCATTTCTCAGTCAAAGCCTCAAAATTAGGAAGATTTTACAAAGTTAAGCAGAATTTGGCTTTGGTCCTCAATGATGCTGAAGTTTTTCAGGTGCACTGATGTTGGTGTGGAGCTTGAGGGGTTCTCTTGTGTGTGCTGCAGCCACACAACCATTGTAGAGGAGCATCATAGCCCAGTCATCGTACAAATGCACCATGTCTGCAACCCTGGCTGTGTATATAACTTGTGTCTATAATCCACTGCAATTTTCAGCATTGCTTGAGTGGGAAAAGTTTATTTCCATGAATTTTCCATCTCTTTAATGTGAAAAAAATAGAAAGTAAAGGTAACTAGGAAACATGAATAAACATAATCAAACATAAAATGCTTGTAATGATATAAGGAATTAGTTCAGCCAATTAAAATTTTAAACGGAAAAAACCCTGTAGCATCAAAACCCAAATACATCAATAGCATTGTCCTTTTTGTAATCAGGATTAGTTTATATTTCCTGACAGCCAAGTGAGAAGAATTCCAAATTACAGCTTCTTGACCTTTTTCTCATTCAAAAACAGGTCAAGATGCTACGTGAATAAAATGGGAAATGTAAAGACAGTCTGGGGGAGGGGAGACTCAATCACCCATTGCCTTTTGTCTAATTATGTACCTTTTATAAATGTTACTCTTTTCAAATATTGACTTTTTTATTGCTTCTTCTACAATTGCAATGGGGGAATTTAAGAGCCCCCCAAACTACTTTATCATATAATTAGTTTATCAGTAAATTTGGACCTCATACATCAATCACTATAATGCATAACCTCCGCTGAGACAGAAACCAGGTGTGCATGCTTCTGCCTTCTTCTTTATAGTATCTACAGCATCATTAGTGCCTATACTACAGTTTAAATTGAATTCAGCAAAAAGCAATGGTCTTACCCTCCTGCAAGCAATATCACTTCAGGGATAAATCAACATTTGATTGATTGACAACTCCTACTCTTTCCCTGCTGCTGTTTGGAAAATGGTGAAGTATGATTTTTGTATGAAAAAAAATTATTTTAATTAGTCATGAATAGAAAAAAACACTTGATTCCAAGGCGAATGCTTAAAGCGGGCATACTGTGACAGCACCAGGAGGCTTGATACACTGAATTATCTGAAGCCACCAGAAAATGATCTGCCTGCCCTTTTCTTCCCCATGCAATTGTGGTGTGACTTTCTTTTCAGGTGCCTTTTACATGTGACATCTGTACAATCCAAATGGGGAAAACATAGCTGGAAGACACAACAAGAAAGAACTCCTTTTGGGTCTATCCAGAAAACATTGGGATGCCTGACCTTTGCATCCTCTGTATCCCACAAATCCCAAAGGGAATGGTTCATTTAACCTCCCAATTTATAGTGCATTTTATGGACAAAGGAGTGGAGATCCAACCAGAGCAGTGTCGCCATGTCAGGGCTATAAGTTGCTTCACAAACTAATACCTTGAAGACACAATTTTTGGGGGTTCATTCATAAAAAAATCTCTTGGAAGTCAGGGTCTGATTGAACAATACAGAACCCAGCTTGCATGTGCATTAAAAATCCAAACAAGTAATTATTTATGCTACTTTTTCATTTTCCATGTAATCAAGCACTGGCTGGTAATAACGCTCCAAGGGTTGATTACACCAGCAAGAAACAGCAGCTCCTCTGACCACACCTCTTCCCTGGGAAAATCTCTACACCGATGAAAAAGGCAACATGTTTGTAGCAGAGAAAAATGGGAATTTCATGGTTGCATGGAATTAATGGTTCTCATGTACTTAGCAGAGCTGAGCTGAAGCACTTCCCACAGAGTGAGGACTTGTCAGGCTGTCTGTAACATGCTCCTTTCCACAATTAAATTTTTTTTCTGATTGCAAGCAGATTTTTTTCAGCGTATATCCCTTCTCCTTCACTCCTGAGAAAAAGCCAGCAGTGTTTCTAAAGCATGATATTTGCTGCTGCTCATCTGCATGTCTAGTGTACTAGCAGAAGAGTCTTTCCTCCAGGAATAACAAGTGTGCAATGTATTACATTACAGCTGATTAAAGTAGCCTCTCCTGCTGCTGTTTAACTTGTCTGGTACATCATCCAAATACTTGCAGGCACCATCTTATAAACACAGAATATTGGAACTGTGCTGTTTTATGACTGTGCACAAAGGCTGCTGAAAACGTGCTGCCTTGGTGAAATTAGGTACCTGCACTAACACAGTTGAACCTGGAAAGTTAAACAGTACTGTGGAGTGAAGGCTAAAAGAGATAAATAAAATGCACATGTTAACTCAGCAAATTCCAGGTACAACCATGCATTTGAAACACCTCTGGAACATCTACCTGGCATTATTACTGGGAATTATAAGCTTATATTGGTTTATCAGCGTGGTTGATGTATCCCCAATGGCAAAATTTGAATAACGCGGAAATGGCAGAGCAGGACTTGGCCTGAAGAGCTACCTGTATTAGTGACTATCCATCAGCCAGCAAGAGCTGGACATGATTCCTCAGGCCCAGGCTAGTGAAGGCTTTGAAAATGTCTCCTTTCTCGTAAATTGGATAGATTTGAACTGGAAAGCTGAGACAAAAGGAGGTAGAACTGTCTTCATGCTCGCTGACATTTTTAGTTCAAACATGCAATACCAAACCCCCAAGTGCAAGAAGGATGGTGATGTGGTACTCAAGCATGATTTTTTACAAGGTTCTTAAAGCTGCAAATGTTTTTAACCACCAGGAATCTTTCCTTTAATATATATTAAAAGCTGCATTATATGGAAGGCCTTAGGTGTACTTGAATTTCAAACACCTGGGTTATTTTCTTAACTTTACTGATAAATGCAGGTGTTTCATAGCAAAAGCACATAGGCAATCAGACTGTCTGAGGGCAGCAATGAGTTGCACACATTTTTCCTAGGATAAATACATTTTCACAAGTGCATGGAGTGAATGGGCCTTTGGCATGAATTGCAATTGGATGGCAGTCAGACTTTGAGGTGTAGAAAAATACGTGTTTTAACTGATTTCATGAAAGAGTTGTGCTAGCATCTTCTGAAAATCAGCTGCTTCCAATTTTGCCTGTGAGGGAAGAGGGAGGGGAAGAGGCAAGACTACCACAGCCCATGCCAGGCAGGGGGTGAAGCCAGCTCTTCTCCCACAGCTCGCTCTTGCCGCCGGCACACGCGTGCGCTCCCATTCGCCACAGCCAGCCCAGCCCGGAGCGTGCCATCTCTGTCCTTACCGAGATCAAATGGAGCTAGTCAATCAGGGGATATTACTATTGCCTCCGCCATTCAATTTCCACTATCAATAATTTACTGTATTTGCTGCACGCGCAGAAGGAGGAGGAGATGGCCAAACAGATTTTTGTCAGGGGGTACAGGATGCACCCCGCGGGCGGCCGGGCAGAACCGAGCCGGGCGTTCCGCCTGAGATCGCCGGGCTCCGCGGTCGCCCCTGTCTCCGCCGGCGGGCGATGATGCGACGGGCGGCCCCGCTGTCGGTCTCGGTCTCGGTCTCGGTCTCGGTCCCGGTCCCGGGCTAGGCAAAGCCGCCTCAGGACCGCTGGGACTGAGCTCCTGCTGGGCGCCTGCAGAAAGTCAGCGGTGTAACGTTACCTGGGGCGCTCATTAATAAGCAATGCCTGTTATTATCTTGATTGCATTCTTAATAGACGAACTACGGAGAGGTCAGCGTGGGAGCGATATTTAAATGGATTGGGCTTGCTTAATACCCGGCGGAGTAAACCAATATCCCGCCGCGGGCAGACCGACACCCCCCTGCCCCGCTCCCCGCTCGGGAAGCGCCGGGGGAGCGGAGGGGAGCCGAGCGGGGCCGGGCGGGCGGGGCGGGGGCGGTGGCGGGGCCGGGAGGCGGTGCGGAGACTCCGAGCGGGGCAGCGCGGTGCCTACGGCCGCCGCAGCCGCCGGCCGGGGGCGAAGCCGCTCGGCGAGGAGAAAGCGGCGGGGCTGGGCCGGGAGGCTCCGGCTGAGCGGCGGGAGTGAGAGATCCGGCTGCGCTGCCCTCCCGCCCCTCATAAAGCTTTGATGAGACACTTGAGACGCCGCCTGTGTTGTCGAGGCGGCGGGAGGCGGTCGGTGGGACTGGGCGCCCGAGAGAGGATGTGACTTCCCGGAGGGAACCCGGACAGGCTTTGTGTGGACGACAAGGTACGTGGCGCCCTGCCAGGAAACTTAAGGGGCCGGGGACAGGGGGTGCGGGCGGCTGCGGAGCCAGGAGAGCGCCGGCCGGCGAGAGGCGTCGGGGAGCGGTATGGGCGGGCGAGGGCTGGCGCACCCCGCGCCCCTTTGTTCCCGCACCTGTCGGCGCGGCCGGTGCCCGGCGGGGCTTTTGTCGCGGCCGGCGGGAGCAGGAGCGCGCTGCCGGCGGCGCGGGGGGCAGCGGAGCGCGGGGCCCGGCGACGCTTCCCCGACGGCGGCGGCCGCCTGGCGCGGGGCGCGGCGGGGCCCCTCGGACGGCGGGGCGCGCCCCCTGGCGGCGGGCGCGCGGTGGGGCGGTGGCCCGGCCTCCTCCCTCCTGCGTGGCCGCGGCGACGGGGCCCGGCCCTGACGGGAGAGCGGTAGGGCCGTGACAGAGCAGCGGTGGCGGCAGCGGCGGGGCGGGCGGCGGGAAGGGCCGGGCGCCGTCAGGGAGGGGCGCGATGCACCCTCCTTGCGATGCACTTGTCGAAGCTGGACCGTCGCTGGAATGTGAAGCATGCCCGGCACCGTCTCCGGGATCCGGTGCCCTTCCGCTCTGCCCGTCCCGTGGCAGCGGGAGCGGGGAGCCCGCGGGGCAGCGAGGGCAAGGCAGGGCGGCGCAAGGAGCGGCCGGAGGTGTCTGTCGGTGCTTGGGAGGGAGCAGCGACCGGTCTCGACCCGCCGGCTGTGGATTCCTGTCGGGGGTCAAACACGCCTGCGGGAAAAAAAAACCTGGGTTAAATGGTAAATTTCTTCGGCAGAGGTTTAATTAATACTTTGGAAACCTTGTGCTGTCCCACAGCTTTCCCCCTCTGAGATTAAAAGCATGAGGTGTCACAGCTGTGGGCCACACTTGCTTTGCTTGGTTGTTTTTAAGAATTGTTTTTGCTTGGTGTCTTGGTTTGTTCATTCCAGTTAAGATATGTCCTTTTCCTCTCAGTTTGTTGTAGTTTGCTCCTCTGAGGTTATGCAAGATCAATAGTCATCACTTATTTATGTTTCTAGTAACACAGTTCTAATGAATGCAAAGAATCTATCCTGGCAATACATTTTTCTTCAGCCAGTATTTCTGTAATCTTTAATTCATGCTGCTAAACAGATAAAATGAATTTCCGTCTATAGATCTGAGCAAAGGGTTGGATAATGAGCCGCCTGCTTGTGGGTTGGAGGAACTTTCACAGCACCAAGTTTTAATGGCTTTTAGTCACAAAAGTGAAGACTTTGCTCTGTTTACACGTGAATGGCTGTCCCGAGTTAGCAGATCATCATATTGCCTGCTCTTTTGTGTTGGGTAGTGAGTGTGTGTAAATCGTAGACTCTGCTTACAAAGCTGATTGTTGTCTGCAAGCACGCCCTCAGGTGAAAACTCCAGCCCAGCGATGGTCCAGAGTTGGTGTGGGTATGGAAGGACGTCAGCACAGGGGATGCTCTTGGCGTCAGGCAATCTGTGAATCCTGTAGTTTGGCGTGTGAGAGGAGGTAGCAGCTGCTGGGGGATGCTGCGGTTTCCTGTGTGCAGAGTTCCAGGGCACTAGCTGTGTAAACAGAGCCGGGGAAGGGAGAAGACAGACAGTGATGTTCTGCAGGAATGAGTGCCGTCCCTCACCTGGGTCTCAGCAAAGCAGCGCCTCTGTTTAAACTCTAAAATATCTATTTTCTGCTGTAGTACTACCACTAATGTTCAGCTTCACTGAACCTTGTCTGGGAAAACCCATTTGTAAGCATTGTGCCTTCTGTTCATGTTGCAAGAGCTCTCTGCTTTCCGGAGCTGCAGAATAGATCTTGTTGTTATGTGGCTGTGAAATCAGGGTAAACCAGGTCAGAAAGATGAAGAACATTTTATCTGAATAATCCAGATATAATGGTGGAGGAAGATGGGAAAGGACTTTTATCTTGGACAGAGGAAGACTAAACTGAAAAAAAGTGTAACTTCAAGCTGTTAAGCAGCAAGGCATTATGTTGTAACAGTAGTGCTTGGAAAGTACTGCAATATGCTGGAATACTACAAAATGTAGTGCACAGATGCAAAGGTTTTTAAAGGCTCATTAATATGTGAAAAAAATATAGGGGGAAAATAAGGTTATATGCTTTTGCTTAAAAGCTTTGTATACATGATAGTGCTGAGCTGAAAGTGGCTGCACTTAAAAAGTCCTTGCAGTAGCTGAAGCATTTGTGCAACTCTTACTCTGCTGTTGCTGTAAGGAAAACACAGAAGCTGCACATTTTGCTCAGATAATAATTCTCTCGGGGAGTGCACGTGTAAAAGCAGGTCACAAGAAGCTCGAACGTAGGAGACCCTCTCAACCCTTCTACGGGTTGAGCAGTGCATGAGGAGGAGAAACAAGCCACTCTACTGAATGACTTGTGCAATGAGTTTAGTCCTACTAAAAAAAAAAAAAAAAAAAAAAAAAAAAGGTATTTCTCATACCTGCCTTCCTGGTTTGTATAAAAGGCTGAAAAGTCCTTCTAAGAATGTGCCCTGTGCCTACACTAGAAATCTCCAATCAGGCATTGTGTGAATTGTTGGAGGCTCCACTGGAGAAGGATATGTGCTTTTAATAGGTTAATTACTAACCTGTCTTGACCTGTTTTTAAGTATATGTTGTGAACACTTGGTTTCTCCTAAATGGCTGAAATGCTGCTTAATTGAGAAACTCTCAATCATTTCTTAGATCAGTTCATACCCTGGCATTCTTGGTAATCCTTAGTTGTAAACACTCTGTAAAAGGAAGCTTTTAAAGGCACTGAAGCTAAGCTGTTTTTGTGTGTTGCTGAAGTGAACTGTTAGCCAATAACCTATTGTCTTCAGTTCCAGCAGGGAAGGTTCTGTACCAGCTGTGTTACGCCATTAGGAAGCAGCACGGGCGTGCACTGAGTGAACTGCCTGGTACATGAGTTGGGATGGGGCTGGTAGGCTGTGCCCCTGTCTGCCAGCTCACAAATCTTATTTTGTTTCCTTATCCATCTGTTAGCCAGTCTTATCTTTGGCTGCAGGCTCTTTGAGGCAGAGATAGACTTGCCTCTCTGCTCTTTCTGGTACTCAACAAGAACTCACCTAGGCTCTTGTAATGCAAACAATAAATAACAGATTTTGCTGTGCAGTGCAAACAGGCAACTCTGCCATGGTACCTTAAACTTGCGTGTTACCAATTCCAGGTGCTGAGCAGTCCAGAGCGGAACACTGTTTGCAGGAGTTGTCCATGTGGAACAGGGCAAACAGTCTTATGTGTAAAGTATAGGTGATCTGTAGGCTCAGCCTTTCCTCCTTTCCAGCGTTCAGGACCTCACTGTCAGGCAGCTGTAGACTGGTGGAGTTCAACTGCTACACCAACAGCAACAGTGAACACGAAACTGTCTGAAATACTGGAGATGCCCTGGACATGACTGACCAGGCAACAGTCTTACCAAAACAAAAAAAAGCCAGCCTCATCTCAGGTACAATATCTGCCCTTTATAACCAGTGAACAGAGGCTGGCTGGGGTGGTACTGACCTGATGTGATTGTAATTCTTGGTAACACTGATACCAGTGGTAGCGGAATGTCCCCTTGCAGCATAATTTAAGTTGTCTAAAGGTGAGTACCATGCACAACCAGAGGAAGCAAACGGAAACTTCGTTTAGTGACTTTTCATGCCCTGCTGACAGCTGCCATAAGGCTGTAGCAGTTGTATACTTTCCATGGTAAGAATATTGTATTTTTCAGAGAAGTCATTTTCTGAAACCAGTTAATTAGGACAGTTATTTCTGGCCGTGGCATTTGTAGAGAACAGAAGGCATGATTGTTCTTATATTTGTTTCTCTGAGTCCTTTGATCGACTAGAAGCTCTCAATGCTTTACGCTATAAATTACCTCAATCCTTTGGCAGTTCATTTCTTTTCTTGTGTACTTGGTTAGGAAAATGCAGAAATCCTTGTGATTCAGCTACAGACTGCTACAAATTATGAAGAAATGGGGGAGGGGGTCACATTTCACTTTAGGAAAGGCAGTTCTAGGAGGATGGAAGGATACTGGTTGCTAAATTTGAGATAAGCATCTCACAGTAACTCAAAATCTGAGCAGCTGCTGCCACCTAGAGATGCACGAACCACATAGGGTGCTCGGGCTGTCTCTGGCAAGGGAGCAGGCACCTTGAAAATTAGTTAATCCCAGTCCTTACTCCACAGTAGAGATTTAGTGTCTGAGTGCAGACTTTTTCTAGCCCTGTAATTGATGATTACCTGTGAATCTTGTTCTAGTGATGCGGGTAATTAGGTTTTATACAGTCTTCCTTGTGTGGCTTGAGTAGGTAAGCAAAGAAGCTTCACTTTCAGTAAATCATTTGCTGATTTAATTTGGACTGCACCTAAAGAAGTATTTGCAAGTCAAATTTGTAAGGGTTTGGTGCAGCTGCTGCTGAGGCTCCATAGCCTTTGTAAAGCCTACACCAATAATATGCAATGTAGAATTAGTCCCTTAAGGATTTGAGTTTGCTTGAATGTTGGTTTATTACCTATCCCATCTTTGAAGTCTACTTGTTGGGACTGTCCTTCAGTATTTATTTGCTGGATTAGAAAAAAATTCTGATTTCCCCAAACTCAGGAGCCTTTAGATTGATTTCACTAGATTCAGAATTTTCTCAGTTTTAAAACTAAGTATCAAAGTTAAGTTCAATATGTAGTTATTTGTTACTACCTCAAATCTAAGAATATGGAAAACACTAGTATTTGCTCCTTGTTTTTTAGTTTTGCACATTGAGCTGCTACAGCAGTTTTTTCCTCTGCATTTGAGAGAAGAGCAGTGTTTCCTACTTACACTGTTTCCTGATTACAGAGGAATGAGCCTTTTTTACCCCCTGAACTTAAAATCTCATGTTCAGTTTTTTCTGTGTGACTCTTAGAGACACAGTATGTTTTGAGGCTTTTATAACAACTGCTAGCTCTCAGCTATCAAATGCCCGCTGGAATAAGCAAATCAACACAAGTAAACGTGGAGATGATAATATCATCTCACAGAGCCTCGAAAATGCGACCCACTGGTTAATTGCATGTACTGTATAACTTTCGAGGCAATGGTTTTTTAAATTTCTTAAGATATTTGAAGTCTGTCAGTGGGACTGGGATAAGAGCTTAATCCACAACTTCTGAGGGAACAGAATTTTCCTGTGGGAAACTGAGAAACTGTGATGCAGGAATATTTGCCACAAGTCGGGAGGCAACTGCAAACTGTTTATACCATATCAGGGTGCATGAGTTGTAATACCAAACTAGAGTTTCAAAAACTCTTCTCGGCTCACTGGAGTTCCACATCAGCTTCAACCTTTCTGGGACGTGCACTGAGTTACAAGCAGGCTTTGCATAAATGCAGGAAGAATCTGGGAAAAAAATTGAACTAGGCAAAACCTTGAGCAAAATGCTGTTATATGCTCTTTATTAATTCAGCATGCAAAAGACTCAACCCAGAATCCTGTAGTATATATGTTTTAAAAGTGAGTGAAGCCTAATCTTGTTCCAATTCTAGTGCATATTGTGCTTTATCTAATGTGATCTAAACACTGGGGGGTTTTAAAAACACTGCTCCTAGAGAAATGCTGTTTACTCTAGATCAAGAAATTAAAGGTTCTGATATCTGGATTCCTTAGTCTGTTATGCAATTCACTTTTCAAGCTTGGTGCAGCATCTAGCATCCATATGGTTTAGTTTATCCATCTTTACACTGGCCATGGTGCTCTTGTAGAGTGTTCAGTACATGATACACTGAGAAGAAAAG